AGATATAATAAATACCCTTACATGGCTAACACTATAGACATCTGTCTAACAGGGCCTTGCAGGCTGCTATTGCACCCTGTACAAATACCTTCCAATGTGTCAAGAGTCCTTCGCCATCTGCTATTATTCAACAATCTACATTAACTTTGATTTCTTTTATCGTTTTAACTGGAGACAGATCGGAAAAACTAACATGAGAGCAAATGAATGGGGGAGAAGGAAAAGTGTATGAGCAATTTAAATGTATGCTACAGGTAATGCATTAAAAATATATATACTCTTAATGTTTTACATGTTTTACCTTCCATGTAATTTAAAATACCGAACCTGCAGACACAAACATTACATAATAATATATATTGTGTGATTTGTTCTCTCCCGTTTAAATGACCATGGGCTTGTTTCGATGCCTATCATTATCAGCCTCTGACAAGCCGGTATTGCGGTATTGTTTAAAAGATTGCGAGCATGGTGTAAATAGTTTTCAATAAATGCTTGTCAGGTGTATTGAAAGTTTATTGCTGTTTATTCGCAAAATAGTGACTTGTACAGAATTAAAAGCAAAATTGCAAAATAAAGCTAAAATCTCCAGGCAGCAAACTGGTTATTTTTGCCCATATTTTCTAAATAGGTTTTCAGTTCATTACAATTTGTCTGCTTAGTGAATAAACCCTTTAGGGGAATTAACTCAGACCAATGCAAGAGGATTGCGCATGCCAATAATTATTGGTATGATTTGGTATGGCGTGAGGCAGAGGAAATGATATCAAAATCTAGGTCCGTCCAGACATTCCGAGCAGACACTCCAAGGAGGGGAAATAGAAACAATGTTTCTCCTCTATTCTGTATGCTTTCTCTATACTGACTCTCTGTTGCAAAGGACAGAACTTATAACAATGCTTAACGTGGTCCACAGTCCATAATGAGATTTAGGGCCCATTCTGTATGGATTTTACTTACCTGCTGATTGCCCTGCTTCCCACAACATCTTAAGGGACCACTATAGGCACCCAGACCACTTAAGCTTAATGAAGTGGTCTGGGTGCCAGGTCCAGCTAGGTTTAACCCTTTTTTCTATAAACATAGCAGTTTCAGAGAAACTGCTATGTTTATATTAGGGTTAATCCAGCCTCTAGTGGCTGTCTCATTGACAGCCGCTAGAGGCGCTTTCGTTCTTCTCACTGTGAAAATCACAGTGAGAAGACGCCAGCGTCCATAGGAAAGCATAGTTTAGAGTTTAATAAAAACCTTTTAGGAAATAAAACTGACTATGGCATAAGAGAGGAGTTCAAAACTAGAGACTTTGACTTCTTGGGTCTGACATTTGCCACTTCCCACCATCAGTATCAATACCAGTGTGGTGGAAGTTCTTAAGCAGGAACATCTGTTAGTTCTCCTGGGCAAAGCCTTGCAATGAAATTATATAACTCTCTCAGTCAATGAGCTAAGCCCTCAGCCAATGAGCTAAGCCATCAGTCAATGAGCTAAGGCAACAGTCAATGAGCTAAGCCCTCAGCCAATGAGCTAACCCATCAGTCAATGAGCTAAGGCCTCAGTCAATGAGCTAAGCCCTCAGCCAATGAGCTAAGCCATCAGTCAATGAGCTAAGGCCTCAGTCAATGAGCTAACCCTCAGCCAATGAGCTAAGCCATCAGTCAATGAGCTAAGGCCTCAGTCAATGAGCTAACCCTCAGCCAATGAGCTAAGCCATCATTCAATGAGCTAAGGCCTCAGTCAATGAGCTAACCCTCAGCCAATGAGCTAAGCCATCAGTCAATGAGCTAAGGCATCAGTCAGTTTTTTTGTTTGTTTGTAAATGCGTTTTTATTTGTAATGTTTTCAGTTGAAACATAGGAAACACTACGGCATATTCACAAGTTGTCACTAGAGTTGAGCGAACCAGAACTGAAAAGTTCGGGTTCGTATCGAACATTAGGTTTTTTGGACCCCGGACCCGAACACGGACATATCACTGTAGAGGTTATACTGTTATGGTCTCACCCAAAGGCTGTGAGGAGACAGGAATGGCATCAGCCGGAACACAGATCATAAGTCAAAGCATTCTAAAATGATTTGACTACTGGCAGTGAGGGAGTGGCACTGTATGTTCGGGTTGGAGTTCTGTGTTTGGCGATTTAATGGCGCGTTTTCAAAGGCTGCAGGGCAGCCAATCAACAAGCGTTTTACTCGTGTGCCCTTAGAAGCCATCACAGCCATGCCTACTAATGGCATGGCTGTGATTGGCCAGTGCAGCATGTGACCCAGCCTCTATATATAAGCTGGAGTCGTGTAGCGCCGCACGCACATGCGGTCTTATTAGTGTAGGGAGAGGATGCTGCCGCTGATAGGGACATCTTAGGAAAGAATTCTGCAAACTAGTACATTAGTGGGGTGGGGTGCACTTCATATCTGAGAGTCATATAGAAGCTTCAAATACTGCGGTTACATAGGAGTTTTAAAAAGTAATTTTTTTTGGTGCAAAATAGTACATTACTAGGGTAGTACATTAGTGGAGTGCACTTCATATCTGAGAGTCAAATAGAATCGTCAAATACTGCTGTCACATTGCAGTTTTAAAACTTAATTTTTTTGGGTGCTAAAAAGTACATTAGTGCACTTTATATCTGAGAGTCAAATAGAAGCGTCAAATAGAAGTGTCTAATACTGCGGTTACAGCGCAATTGTAAACATTCTAATTGTTTTGGTGCTAAACAGTAAATTTTAGGGCCTGTTTTTCATATCTGAGAGTCAAATAGAAGCAACTAATAGTGTGCTTACTGCGCACTTGTAAACATTTTAATTGTTTTGCTGCTAATCTGCTAAATAGTACATTTTGGGGCCTGTTCTTCATATCTGAGAGTCAAAATGAAGCGTCTAATAGTGTGCTTACTGTGCACTTGTAAACATTCTAATTTTTTTGCTGCTAATCTGCTAAATAGTACATTTTGTAGCCTACTCTTCGTATCTGAGAGTCAAATAGAAGCGTCAAATAGTGCAGTTACTGCACAGTGGTAAACATTCTTATTTTCTGGGTGCTAATCTGCTAAATAGTAAATTTTGGGGCCTGTTCTTTAAATCTCAGAGTCAAATAGAAGCGTCTAATATTGTGCTTACTGCGCACTTGTAAACATTCTAATTTTTTGCTGCTAATTTGCTAAATAGTACATTTTGGGGCCTGCGGAGCACTTCATATCTGAGAGTCAAATAGAAGCGTCAAATAGTGCACTTACTGCGCAGTGGTAAACATTCTTATTTTCTGGGTGCTAATCTGCTAAATAGTACACTTAGGGGCCTGTTCTTCATATCTGAGAGTCAAATAGAAGCGTCTAATAGTGTGCTTACTGCGCCCTTGTAAACATTCTAATTTTTTTGCTGCTAATCTGCTAAAAAGTACATTTTGTGGTCTGCTCTTCATATCTTAAAGTCAAACAGAAGCGCCAAATAGTTTGCTTACTGCGCAGTGGTAAACATTCTAATTCCTTTTGATGCTAATCTGCTAAATAGTACATTTTGGGGCCTGCGGTGCACTTCATATCAGAGAGTCAAATAGAAGCGTCAAATAGTGCGCTTACTGCGCAGTGGTAAACATTCTTATTTTCTGGGTGCTAATCTGCTAAATAGTACATTTAGGGGCCTGTTCTTCATATCTGAGAGTCAAATCGAAGCGTCTAATAGTGTGCTTACTGTGCACTTGTAAACATTCTAATTGTTTTGCTGCTAATCTGCTAAATAGTACAATTTGGGGCCTGCTGTGCACTTCATATCTGAGAGTCAAATAGAAGCGTCAAATAGTGCGCTTACTGCGCAGTGGTAAACATTCTAATTGTTTTGCTGCTAATCTGCTGCTTACATTGGAGTTTTAAAAAGTCAATTTTTTTTTGGGGGGGGGGCGCTAAATAGTATATTTGGGGTGTTCACTTCATATCTGAGAGTCAAATCGAAGCGTAACTTTGATTCGAATTTACTACATCGGTCACTTGTAATATTGTTTCATACCTACAACACTTGTTACACAGATCTTGATAGAAAACAGATTGATATTTTCTACACTAGAAACTACCAGATAACAAGCTGCTATATTTAAACCAGTGATCAATGGTTAAGAGGTACTTCAACAATATTGTAATTCTGGGGCAATACCCTCACAAGTCAAACTGAGAGGTCAGTTTATAGGGAAAACTGTTGCCTGGAGGAAATTCTAAAACAATTTCCATATGTCCTTTGCAGACTTTACATGCTGGAAAAACACAGGTGCCAACTGCTGTGGCTTTCTGCAGTGTGCACACCGGCAAGGAGGGCAGGGTTGAGGAGTGGGTGGAAGATGATGTGAAGGATGATGAGGTCCTAGACCCCACATGGAATCAAGGTCATGCGAGTGACGTGTGCAGTTTGGAGGAAGAGACGCTGGTCGCACAGAGGCACCAGCACAGCATAAGAGGGAGCAAAAGCGGAGCGGCTGTCCCCTAGCGCTCGTCGGCATGTATTAGCTTGAGAATTACCAGTTATCCAAGTAATACATGTAGCGATCAAAGGATCCATAATAGAGTTCAGTTCGGGTTCATACCAAAGTTCGGGTTCATACAAGATTTAACGATCCATTCGTAGTTTCACAGTGAGGTGGGCATTCTAGTGACCAAGACCGAGACACTGTCTGGGTGGCGGTCGGACGACCGGGACCCAGTATGCTTGATGTTGAAGTTAGGAGTCACAGTGTGGAATGGATTAGCAGGGTCTGGTGCAGTGTAACCGCACGCCCCCTGGTGTTGAGCACCAGCGTTTGTGCAGCCACATACCAGGACCCTGGTGCAGCTTCAGTAAAAAGAGTACTGGATACCAGAAGCCATCAAGAGACTGATCCGCAACTTGGAACAGGATGTGCGTGCTTTTGGTGTTGTCATCCTGCTGCTGCTCGCCTGTCTGCGCTGCAGCGTAACTTCGGCCTTCCCGCTCTCCACCTCATGAGACTGTGCGAGCAGCAGCAGGCAATAGTGGAGTTTCAGCTGTAGCTCGCACAGGTCAGTGGCTCTGCACCAGACTTCCCTCCAATTGATCAGAGTTAAAGGATTTCAAGTGGACTAAAGAGTCCTGTATTGTTATTTGTCGTCACTACCTTCCCGCATCGGGAGTGGGTCATTTGCACACCTGCTGCCTTCCTTGCATGTGGTAGACGTTTCTCAGGGTCCCAGTACGGAATGGAACCCTGATTCCCCGTTACCCGTGGTCACCATGGTAGGCGCAGAAACTGGCATTGAAAGTTGATATGGACGACATCCGCATGCAAAGTCGTCGCCACCACGGGGATGTGCGATTTGCCCGGTGTTCTCTAGAGTCAACAAAGTTCCTGCGCAACCATAATGTCAACAGCTACTCTGCGGAACAGAGTTGTCTTTTTTTATATGTCCCAATATTTTGGGGGCTACCCCAATTAAAATATATATATATATATATAAACAGTGTTGGCTAACTCATCCTCCTCCTCCACCGCCATGGTCACCGCCTCCTCAACCTATGGGTCACTTAGTATAAACTAGGTACACATTAGCAGAGGCTTGTGAAGGCCTGTTCTCCATGCATAAGGAGTTGAGCATTTCTCCATGCATCAGGACTGCAAGAAATGCACCGCAGGCCGCAAATGTTTCTTTATTTGTATGTCCCAATATTTTGTGGGCTACCACAATTAAAAAAAAAACCCCCATAAAATACAGTGTTGGCTACCTCCTCCTCCACCGCTGCTTCCTCCTCCACCGCCACGGTCACCGCCTCCTCAAGCTATGGGTCACTTAGTATAAACTAGGTACACATTAGCAGAGGCTTGTGAAGGCCTTTTCTCCATGTATCAGGAGTTGAGCATTTCTCCATGCATCAAGCCTGCAAGAAATGCACTGCATGCCACAAATGTTTCTTTATTTGTATGTCCCAATATTTTGTGGGCTACCACAATTAAAAAAAACAAAAAAAACCCCATAAAATACAGTGTTGGCTACCTCATCCTCCTCCTCCACCGCCACGGTTACTACCTCCTCAACCTATGGGTCACTTATTATAAACTAGGTACACATTAGCAGAGGCTTATGAAGGCCTTTTCTCCATGCATCAGGACTGCAAGAAATGCACCACAGGCCGCAAATGTTTCTTTATTTGTATTTCCCAATATTTTGTGGGCCACCACAATTAAAAAAACAAAACAAAACATAAAATACAGTGTTGGCTACCTCATCCTCCTCCTCCACCGCTGCTTCCTCCTCCACCGCCACGGTCACTGCCTCCTCAACCTATGGGTCACTTAGTATAAACTAGGTACACATTAGCAGAGGCTTGTGAAGGCCTTTTCTCCATGCATCAGGAGTTGAGCATTTCTCCATGCATCAGGACTGCAAGAAATGCACCACAGGCCGCAAATGTTTCTTTTTTTGTATGTCCCAATATTTTATGGGCTACCACAATTAAAAAAAAAAATAAAAAAAAAATAAAAAACAGTGTTGGCTACCTCCTCCTCCGCCGCTGCTTCCACCTACACCGCCACGGTCACCGCCTCCTCAACCTATGGGTCACTTAGTATAAACTATGTACACAATAGCAGAGGCTTGTGAAGGCCTTTTCTCCATGCATCAGGAGTTGAGCTCAGTTTGAACAATGAAAGAGAATACCATGCACTCAGTGGCGGATCCAGAGCCTGATCTCGGGAGGGGCACTTGTAGATTATTTAAAGAAATAATCCAGACACAATAACCACTACAGCTCAGTTTCCATCCCAGAGTAAGTAGTCAAACTGTTTAAGAACAGTTTGACAACTTACCTGGGGTCTGCTGGGATATAGGGCATGGGAGCAGTGGTATGTGTTAGGGGTGAAGTGTGTATTAAAGGTGCAGTGTGTGTGAGCTGTGAAGTGTGTGCATGAGGGCGGCAGTGTATGTCAGGGTTGCAGTGTGTGTGTTAGGGGGCAGTGTATGTGTGGGGCAGTGTGTGTGAGCGGTGCAGTGTGTATGTGAGGGGGCAGTGTGTGTGAGAGTTGCAGTGTATGTGTGTTTGGGGCAGTGTGTGTATGGGGGGGCACTGTATGTGTGTGTGGGACAGTGTGTGTATGGTAGGCACTGTATGCGTTTGTGGGGCAGTGTGTGTATGGGGGGGTACTATATGTGTGTGTGGGGCAGTGTGTGTATGGGGGGCACTGTATGTATGTGTGGGGCAATGTGTGTTTGGGGCAGTGTGTGTGCGGGGCAATGTGTGTATGGGGGGCACTGTATGTATGTGTGGTGCAATGTGTGTATGGGTGGGGCACTGTATGTATGTGTTGGGCAATGTGTGTATGGGGGCACTGTATGTATGTGTGGGGCAATGTGTGTGTGGGGCAATGTGTGTATGGGTGGCACTGTATGTATGTGTAGAGTGCATGTGTGTATGGGGGAAGTGTGTGTGTATGGGGCAATGTGTGTGTATGGAGCAGTATTGTGTATGGTCAATGTGTATGGGCAATGTGTGAATGGGGGGCGGTGTGTGTATGGGGGGCAGTGTGTGTGTATGGGGGGCAATGTGTGTGGGGGGAAATGTGTCTATGGGTGTGCAGTGTTTGTATGGGGGGGAAGGAGGGTAGGGAGGCTTTTTAATATATATTTTAAAATTTTTATTTAATATAATTATGTCCCCACCTCCCTTCTTACCTTTACTGGGAGGAGGGGGGACATTTCTCCATCCCTGGTAGTCTGGTGGGGATTCCCTGGTGGTCCCAGTGGTGGTGAGGTGAACTCTAGCCCTTTGCTCCAGGGCTAGAGTTCACTCTCGCGAGATTTGGAGCGTTGCCGCGGCAACGCTCCGTGCTCGCGGCAACGCTCCGTGCACGCGAGAGTAGGACCCGGAGGAGCTGCAGGTAAGAGCTCCCGGGTCCTCTCTCACTCCCTCCCCTGCCGGCTGTCAGCACAGTGCCTGCGGACCGGGGAGGGAGATTTCTGATCTCCCTCCCTGGTCCGCAGGCACATTGCAGGGCTGGCACTTGGACAATGCCAGCCCTGCATTAGCCGGCAGGGGAGAGCCTCGGGGGGGGGCAATTGCCCCATTGCCCCCCCCCCCCGGATCCGCCACTGCCTGTACTCCAACCCTCTCTCAAATGGATAATTCTGGTGATCCTCATGACAGCCATGCTTTAGATTTTGATTTATGTTCTTCCAAAGCTAAAATCAAAGATTTCATCTAGTGCTATTTTATGGCTCAGCTATATTTTAAATTTTTAGGTATTTTATGTTATTTTAAGTAATTTCCCTATCCACATTTGTTTGCAGGGCACTTGCCCTACTCTTACCCCCATTTTACTTCCTTTTGCAGCTTTCTATCCCTTTCCAGGAGTTTTTTAGAGGCATTTTCGGGTGCCCGTTGACTTCAATGAACATCCAGGTGTCCGCTCAACTCTAGTTGTCACACATCAAAGTAGGTTGGACAGAGAAAAGAAGCAAGAAATGTAAACAAAACAACAATACAAGATGTGCCGATCTCCAACATTTTGTTTTTTGTTTGACATTAATATATGTGGGATATTAACGAGTTTGACTTCTTACAATGGGTGGTGACGTCAGGGCACTTCTGGTACCATAACCAGTGAGATTCAATGGAAATTTCAAATTAAAGTCCAAAATAGCTAGAAATATGGCTGACTTGGAGATATTTCAAATTAAGCTATTTTGTCCTAAAATGTACTACTCCCTGGTGAATTCCCAACAGTTCACAGTTAAATTAATAATGTGA